TTAACGTCGTTAGAAAACGCGTTTAACAAAAACGCCAGAAAACGGTTAATTTAACGGTCGTTAGCAAACGCGTTGTCAAAGAACGCGTTATTCTAAACTTCTGAATGACAAAAAACGCGTTTAAACGACTCTTTTAACGATCGTTCGCTAACGCGTTCGGAAAAAACGCGTTTTTCGTGTCGTTTCTAACGATTTTTTTTCGCCTGGGACAAAAGTAAAAGAGATTTTTATTTTATTACCTCTTTCACTTGTTTTTCGACGTTTTGTCGAATTATCTTCATCACCATTCGTTTGTGTACCAACTTTCTCTTTTGAAACCAATTTCATATCACGACTGGAAATAAACAAACAAAACTAATAAAAATATATTATTGAAAACTTTTATTCAAAGCATCCACTTACACAGTATTGATTACGAAACGAACTCGTTCAGTCGACGTGTAAGACACATCTTTCATTAAATTATGACAATGAGTTATTGAACCAATTTCACCATCTGTTTCAAGTTTTGCCAAACTAATTTCAAGTATTCTTTTTATTTCTTCTTCTCGTGACAATATAATCAATTTTCCTAATAGACGAAAAAGTCCAATTAGAAGATTGACCGAATTGCTTTAAGATACATACGAACGCTCTCTCCTTCAGGTATTTTAACTTTCAAAACCACACCGTTTCCGTCACCTTCCAAATAGTAGGTGTACGATGAATTGGTTTTTTTTTTTTATCTAATACCGGTAATTCTAATGTTTCTTCACCGTTCAAGCCTAAATGGTATTAACAGTTAAACTAGACGGGATACCAACAGACCACCCTCAGCACTTACCTGCTCTTACAAAATCCAATAATCGTTGTTCCATTATCACTTGAGCGCCCGGATAGAATGACCAGTTTGGTTTTTCCATAATCATTTTTGAATTGATAAATTTAATGAGATCAGCTGTAAAACAAATCTAGCAAACATAAAGAATATTTCGAGCACGATACGACAGCATTACCAAACGATTTCACATTCTTGTGGTTGTATAAAACTTTGTAAGCCATTGTTCAGTTTCAAACAAAAACAAATAGATTAGATCTAAACAGAAACAACATCTACTCTTGATACAAATGAGGCATATTAGTCATAATGCTATCAACTGAGCAGCAGTGGCATTAGAAGAGAGAAACAAGCAAAGGAATTCTGTCTTTTAAGTATGTCAGAAAACCATGAAAATCGTCATTGACGAAGTCTGCACAATTTAGAAACATCCTGGTTATTCTTGAACTCGTTCAAATCGCGCCAGTTCTTCCCTAGCACAGTTGACTGCTATCTGGCGACATCTATCACCGGCCTACAGAAAACGTTTGCTTAGCTTTTTGTCTCTCTGCAGCGGTAGATATTTCAGATCATCTCTTTGAATATTTTCTCCCTTCTGTAAAAAATAATTTTC